GCTATGTGAAACAGATTGCTTTGTGAACTTCAAATCGTAGCATCACATGGTGTAAGTATAAAAATAAATCAGAAATAATTATTATAAAAACTAAGTTAAAAATATGTCTTTAGAGAGCAGCTGAAGCTTTGAATTCAATAAAAAATGTTTCAAGTACTACAATCCAGATGTCGCCATACTTATTCCAACATTGCCGCCTTTAATCGCACGCAACATATTTTTCCTCGCGTCAAATATTCAGAGATATTTTATGCATGCAATGAATGGCCAGTGGTTGTTGTTTTTTTTCTTCAAACTTTGGTCGTTTTTTTTTTCGTTTGCAAATCCAATAGGTTTGGTAAAGGAAGAAAATAACCGTTATAGGTATTGGTAGAAATGTGCCAGAAGTTTGATACATTTACCTAAAGCTTGCTGTTGGCAACTGAATTTACGCATTTGACCAGTGCAGACCAAAACGAGCTGGCACAGTCATCCCGTCTGATCATGGTCTGCATTGTGCACTATTCATTTGGTACTGATTTCAAAGTTTTTCCTAACACAATGAATGGTTTTGTTCAGATTGTGAAAACTATCCGTCGCGGATACTTAAAATGCTCTTTAAAAAGGAAGTTATCTCATCTGTATTTGTATTAAGTCGGAAGTTATAGGACCTTTTACATGTACATGTTCTCAAAAATATGCGCGGAGTGACACGTAGCAATCTTCCCTACCACATTGCCTGTCTCACCCTCTCGTCCACACCGCCCAGCAACAAGAACAACAACAAAATTGAGCCGCGTCACGACAAAACCAACATAATGGGTTTGCGACCTGCATGGATCCAGACCAGCCTGCGCATCCGCGCAGTCTGATCAGGATCCATGCTGTTCGCTATCAGTTTCTCTACTTGTTATAGGATTTGTAAGCGAACAGCATGGATCCTGATCAGACTGCGCGGATGCGCAGGCTGGTCTGGATCCATGCTGGTCGCAAACCTACTATGTTAGTTTTGTCATGACACGGCTCAAATGTTGGACTGACGCTTATTTTGCATCATATTACACCAGGATGCGGACAGGCGTGTTCAAGTTTTATAATTGCAAAGTGATCTGAAAATAATTATTTAGTTTTTTTTGTACTCTTGTTTAATCAAGCACGATAAGTATAACTATTAAAGCGGTTTTCAAGAGAAAATTAAGAGTCGTAAGTTCAGTATTAATCCATCAATCGCAACTGTTCGGCCCTTTCCGTCAAGTCTTCAGAGAAGGATTTATCGTCGAAGAGTCATTAACGAATCCTTATAATCACGTTAACGAATAAATGTTCACACGCGTTTACTTAAAAAAACAAGCAATTCTTTCCGAAGTTGTTCGCAAATAAATAAGATGAAAAACAAGCCACAAATAACAACATCAACAAAAATTCAAAGGATATAATTGAGCAACATCCGAAAAAGCTAATAAGATGCATTGCAAATAATATGGAAAACTAATTTGACTAATCTCCATATTTGGTAAGATGCCGTTAAGGAATAAATTTACGCAAAAAAGTGTATCAAAATAAGAAACATTTCGAAGTTTAAGATCAAAATTATGTATAATTATGTACTGCAAAAAGGTGAAAATGCGTGCTTAATGCTGCAAAACAAGCTCAAACAATACAAAATAATGGCATTTTAGTGTTTTTCCTCATGTATTTCTATAAGAATTGTTTATTCAAAAGGAATAAATACAACTGAATTAGATCAAGCGTGTCTGATACAAGAGATTGGTGCTTTTAAAAAGGGCGGAACCTGATAACGTAGTTTTGCTCCGCGAAGCGTCAGACAAAAATACGAGAATGTGACAAATGTGTCGTACTGTAGCTCCGAGGGGCGCCAGGTCAAAACATGAAAGTACGACAAAATAACCACTTTGTCGTAGTTTCGTGTTTTCACCTGGCGCCTTGCGGAGCCCGAAAAAAACCGACCCCAGCATAAATTATAGCCTCCCAATAATTTTAATTTATGTGCATCTTTAAAAATTTTGGAAAAAAAAACCCAAGAAAACCCTCTGTAATATTTTAAAAAATCATCTTTATACACATTTTAAAAAAAAATATATTTAAGAAAAATAACGTTTAAACTTTTATATTGAATAAAAAAGCATTATAAAATTGTTTTCCCTTTTTTATTTTTGTTTTTGTTATAAAAAGACTTCATTGGGCCCGAGTTTGGGGTTATATTTGGTTTTCTATGGTTTTTTAGTCACCCGTCTCATCATCTGTTTTTTGAAAAAAAACCCCAATGGCTTTTAGGTTTAAAAAGGGGGGCTCCTTTATCTGATTATTATCAACCTGATTCACATATAAGCTGCTGGTTAAAAGGGGTATTGATTTTAGTTGATGATAAGGGTTTGCAGGGTTTTCGACAGTATTATTTCACTTAGTTTTTAAAATGAAAGTAAACTTTCAAAGTGAACAAATTTTTAAATTAAAACCCGTTAGTTAAAATTTTCCCGGGGCAAAAAGGGAACATTCTTCACTTTTTGCCAAAAATTCAGACGTATTTCTTACTTATATTTGGGGGGCTTTTTATTTGAGTAAAAAGGGCTTTTTTTCCTTTCATAAAAGGGCAATTCCCGAAAAAGGGGTTCTGGAGTAGGAAAAGGCGTGTATGCAGTTTTTTGCTCAATTTAGGTTTCCCTCAAAAAAAAGGGAAAAGCCCCACTACTCACCAATCATTTCCTTTAAAAGGAGCTTTTTATGCAAAAATTTTCTTTCATTTCATTTTTTAAAAAGGGCATAATGCCCGGCCCGTACTTTAAAAATTTATACCTCGTGCTTGTTAAACACGGGTTTTAAACCCTAGTCACCCTAACGAATAAGCGACCGCAACCCAAAAATTTTTCCGGGAAAAATTTAAAGACCACCAGTTTTAAACTTTTTGGGGTTGCAGCCACGGCCCGCAAGCCTTTTTTTTTGGGAAAAAATTGTTTTCCCCTTCAAGTGGTTTTCCCGCTTACATTTTTTTATTTTCATGATTTTTAACAGGGGAAAACCAAAACTATCATTGTGTCAATCGCAACTTTTCGGGCCCTTTCCGGGCAAATCTTCGGAAATTAAAAAATTTAAAAGCCGAGGGAGTTCCCAGTGGGAATCGTTTGAGAATTTTGGGGGATTCCGTTTATTACTTTCGGGAAACAGACAAAGTAATATTACGGGAAAACCTAAGCTATTTTAGTACTTCGTGTGAATTCCCAGCGTTTGTTAATATAAAAAGGATTTTCTATTTTTACTTGATTTTATCGGTAGGAACAAAAAGAAATAATTATAAACGAAATTGTTCCGTTTCAATTCTTTTTCAAGACGGCAAAAGTAGTTTCTTTTATAATGGTTTTTGTCTTTTATTAGTTTTATACAATAGAGCAATGGTTACTGTAGTAGTATTCCGTCTCAAAGGGCGGTCAATCACACACAGAATATTAGTGCATGATCGAGTTATATTTTAGATCTACTGAGTCTTTTATTTAAAACGCAATTCTAACGTTAGAGTTTTAAACGTCTCTGGTGAGCTAGTAATCTAAAAAATAGCCCATGCATATCATTAACCTTACCACGTGCTGATCTACAATAGTGATCATTAGATATTTTAGGTGTACATGCTTATTAATTGGTACCACGTAACGAAGTCTTTTAGTGCATTTACTTTGTTATGAAGCTGCTAATATAAATGAAATTAGCAAACTGCCAAAACTAAATACTCTCTCTGCAATGAAATGTGCACACTTGCTTTCCCTTCAGTATGATATAGATATATCTCCATATGTGAGAGCCAATGTTTAGTTTTTTACGATTGATTATTTTTCTTTATTAGTTTTTATTACAATAGAGAATAGATTTCAAATCGTTTTTGAACAAAACAAAAAAAATATTTAAAGGGTTTTTATAAAAAAAACTAAATAAACCCTTTATATATATGATATACAAATACCGTAATTCAAAAAAATTGTGATAATAAATTGAAACAACAAAAAAAAATTAAAGGGTTGGGATGATGGCACAACTGAGCAAGCCTTTCGTTTTAAAAGGAAACTTTATTAACTAATTATGTTTAATTGACTATATTGTGAGTAATGTAATTTCGCACAAAGAGAGATATAAAATATGCATATTTGTATTAAAACCAGCTTTACACCCCCCCCCCCCCCCAAAAAAAAAAGAGAAAAGATTTACGAGTTTTTAATGCAAATTCTGACATTTGTGACTCATTTTAATTTTTATATTATCCAAAAATTGATAAGTAATCAGATTTGTTTAAAATCAAATAAGTCAATAATAGAAATTCCTTATTTTCCATAACATTTGATACGAACCGTTCAATAAACTATAAAAGCCATATATTTCATATCTTTAAACTATTTTATCTATTGGCAGAGCCATACGTAAAAATGTTTCAGGAGACAAAATTGTGTTAGATCTGATAGGGAAATTACAATCTCTGGTCGAATTTATAATAATAATTTTTTTATGTCTGTTGCTGAAACGTACTGCAAAATTAAAATGAAACAAGAAAGCAAATTCAACAGACACGTGCATTACCATCTAAAATATCACGTTATACCATGCATTAAATATTGAATATCATAAATCAATCAAAATATAGATCAATACAAACATCGCTTGACACATTACAATATAAGAACACTTGATTGTTGATCATTTGAAATGTACAAAAGGGCCAAAAAATAAATAAATAAAATATTGCACGGTGAAATGGCGCCCTTGAACCAGAAATGTCTGTCTTGGCAAGTTAAATTGATAGAAGAGCCTTGATTGCTGAGTACCACAAATCTATATTGAGTTTATTTAGTGTAAATAGTGTCTTTATTTTACAAAGGAACAACTGTTGAGGATATAGACTTCACTGAATTATTTGCAAATCAAAATAATATTTCCTCTGAAAACATAGATCCTCTAAAAGTATAAAATAATGAAATTACTGATTTTATGGCACTTTTCCAGCGTGGGAGGGTATTAGGACAGTCACGGTACGGAACCTTATTATTGCGCATGCGCATGGTAGATGTCTTTCCTACAGCCGCACGATGGACAAAACAGAACAGGTACTTGTTTACATTTCGACAAGTTTCTTCTTTATTCTAAATACTGAACACCAATCTTTGGATGTGATTGTCTCTTCATATAATGATTGTTATACCCGCATTGGCAAAATACCATGGCTGTTACAAATAAGCCGTAAATCCGGCTGAATTTAGCCCCTCGGAATCTGCTGATTTGCCCCGGCTTTTCGATCTGCGACTGGCTATTTTAAACAGCGAATTTTGATGTTTCTGGCCTAAACTGTGGATATTGCAATAGTTGTTCGTTATAAATTGTTTGCAATTAGCTCAATCATTTAACAATTTTGCTTAAAATCTGTCAGATAGGTAGAAGAATGCCATTTGCTTCCTGTTGGCTTTCACGCCAATAAACATGAGGACATTGGTGTTACTATAAATAGTAACAACTAGGTAAATTAGAAATTAGGTTTATCACAGGCAAGTTTTGATGTGTCATTTATCAAATGGCGTACTTTTAGCAATTTTATGAATGTATATGATACAATAACATGTTCTTTTGTATTAGATTTAATGTTATAAACATGAATTATGTTTAAATTTGATAAAGTTCACATCTTTGTAAGGCAAATCATCCTTGATACTCTAGTCTCTACATTTATTTACATTATTTGCTATATTACAATTAGTTGTTTTCATTCGATTTTACATTTGAATATATCATGTCCAGTTCTATAAGTGCACAGTGCCAGAGCTTTTATTATTAAAAGAAGAATTTGGTTTCAATGAAAAATATTATTACTCCGTATGAATTTGATAATCCCAACTCTGTAACTTAGTAGATATATGTTGAAATTTGTTAATATGTTTTACAGTAACAGGTTCTTAATTAATTAACAAATCTATAACATGTGAAATCTCACCCAATTGTTGTTCCCTTTGTCTTACACAAGGCACAGGTCTGCTTCCTGTAGTTTGACGTGCTAACTAAAAGTACAACAAGAATATAGATTTGTAATATAAAGAAATTGTTAACTTGTAAATGTGATAATCAAAAATTGCTACTTAAAAATTTGCGGAATACAAACTGTTAAAGACAACCGAACGTGATGTTGAGTCAATATCAATTATCAACTGTGAACTAGAGCTGGCATGACTTGTCTAACTTTTAAGTCATACATAAAGTTCCACATTTCAAATGACATTGTCAATATAGTTCTTTAAGAAATAATTTGTAAAGTGTCTTTGGATTAGAGTTGACATTTCCAGTTACTTCAAAGGTTTGTAATTTAATAAGAAATCACATTTTGTATGGCTGTTAACTATATATAACCTGTCAATTATTGTTTATTTATAAGGCAAGATGGCTTACTTTTTAAAAGTATTAATCACTTATTGCTGAATTATCTGCCAAAAGGTGGGTGACTATTTTAAACTTGCCTTAAGCAGCAGTCTGTTGTAACGTGCCCCCCCCCCCCCCCCCCCACTAGTTAAATGTCCTGTGCTACAATTTGGACACAGTCAGGGCTGGAGATTTAAAAAAAAAAGCAAATTACTTTGAAATTTAATTACTTGTTTTATTTTACAATAATCTAAGGGATAAAACTGCTGCACATATTTTCAGGCTGTGCAACTGTAATTTACTTTTGTATGCGATTTAGCCAAAGCCCAAAACAAATGGCAGTTTCTGTAATAAATTATGTTATGAGATATTATGTTGAGAAAAACATTTAGATAAAAAATGACAATGATTTTAGCTAAGTTAAGTATGGACAAAAGTCTTACTTGTCCTGAGGGCCGAATATAAACAAAACTTGCTTGTCCTTCAGGCAAATCTGCTTGTTATGACAAGCAGACGGGTGGAATTTTCCGGCCCTGACACATCAATAGAGAAATAGACATGACCCTGGTCTGGTTCGCAGGCCTTTAAGTTTTTAGTCCAGAATTGGAAATTTTGTGTGTTAAAATTCTGTTCAACTTCATTATTAATTTTAAGAAAAGCAGCATATCAAGAGTTTCATAAATCAGAATGAAACATATACATTATATCTTTTTGTTTCTGTTCAGGGTTCCGTCTATACAGGATGCTTCTTCTTTGTCATAAATTGACAAATTTTTCATTTAGAGTGTAAAGAAATGTGCAAATAAGATATAAAAGCATTTCTTACTTGTCTGTCTGCAATTTTGATATAACTTTCTTGTTTTCATTGTTTCCCATTGATCACCCCTTTTTTCCAGTTTTGTAATTTAACAAACCATTTTGCTTTAATTTCTTAATTCTAAATGTGAACATACAAAATGTTGAAGAATTTGTCTGCTTCAACAGAGTAAGTTTTTTTAAAGAAAAAATAAGCATAATGGCCATGGGTCAGATAGTCCTACCATCGGGTTAGATAATCTGACCTGTGGCAGTCTGTGAAATTAGGGTTTAAAAATTGTTGTCATTTGGGCAACAAATTCAAGAAAATCTGGTTGTCCGAAGTAAAAACTGGTTGCCTGAATATTTTCATCAGAACATCTCCAAGCAATTATTGATCAAATCTGCAAACTTATCTTCAGTGAGAAACAGTCATAAATGTAAGCAAACTAATTGTATTTTGGCTTAATCATAAAAAGTATAGATAAAGTTTAACAGTTTAAGTCACTTTATTTCTCAACAAAATTACAAATGCTTAAGTGATGCTATCTGGAGAATGATATATATCATTATGCGTGACATTTGTAAGACAAACCAGAAATTTTGTTTCCCTACGGATTAGAAATTTTTTGAAGCAATGTTATTGTGCATGTACAGTTGTACTTTTATATATTAGTCATTAACTCATTATGATTTATCTTTACTTGTTCAGGAGTGTCTGTGGCTGAGTGGTTAAGGTATTTAAATTCAATCCACTCACTTGCCCCTAACTGCTGTGTTGCTTGAATCCTGACTGGGACTTTGGATTTTTTCATGTGAGGTAGCTATTGAGCTGGCTTACAGAACCCCAGGGTTCTACTTTTGTGCCCATTTATGGCTGAAATAATTGCACAGACGTCTTCCCCCACCAGTAAGCTGTAATGTAGCCATAATAACGACCTGTACTGTGTTTGTTAGACATAAAACTCAACCAAAAAGAAAAAAAATTATATTAGAACTATTGTTGATTTAGTTGTTTGCCAGTGCAAAGTGAATTATCTTCCTTGAATGTTAATTATTATTTGGGCTCTGGTACTATGCTTTTTTGGCATTCAAACTTAAATTACAATAATGATGGTATTTGAATTAACACTTTCTACAAGGCTGCTTATTTTTTACTGAAATATTTGTAAGTGATGTTTGTTAATTAGAGAAATTTAAATGGAGTGAATGCTGAATTCTACAATGTAATTGTCATGCAAATTTTATGCTTGAATAATGGATAAGGGTAGCTTGCAGTTCGGTGCAAGTATTCAATTTCAGTTCATACCCAAACTTTTATTCTTCTATCTATGCATGTTCATTCAAATATTTCTCGACTGGTTATAATTAAGTGTGCACTTTACATATAAATAGTTATATAAATGTAATGTAATTATGTGTGGGCATGGTATGGTGAAGAATAATTATTATTGCATATCTACATAGAGGTTATACAAGAATATCAAGTTAGGTTTGCGTTTTGCTATTGCAAACTGTATAGTGTCCTTGTAAATCTTGTCTGGGGGATACATACACACTATGATATGCTAATTTTATCTTTGGCTGACCTAGTTAAGGACGACTGTAGGCTTTGCTTTAGTAAACTTTAGAACATGGTACTTGAGGCGTATAGACATGTTTGATATTGCTTTTCTTGACTTACGATACAGTTTTTGAAACTGATTATCTTTGTATTATTGAGGAAAATTTGAAAGAGGGTTTAATGTTTTATATAACAAAAGGCTAAAATCATGAAGATTCTATATTTAAAACATGATCTAAGAATGATACGATGTTTTGTGCAGATTTTAGTTAACATACTACACACAAACATTTTAGATGTGTAGTGTATAGAAAATCCATTGTTGCAAATGATAAATGTTTTTAAAATTTCAAAATTAATTTACATAAAAAATAATAAGATGTAAATGACAGAAATCAATGTTACATAGTTGTTTATGTTTTATATGCTTGAATTTTAGAATTATTTGACTTTTTATCATCAATGGCATGTTTTCTTTTGAAAAACGAATAGATCATTTACAAATCGCATGTTTTCTTTTGAAATAAAAAAGGAACAAAAGAAATTTCTTTTGTGTTAACCCTTAACCTTTTGAATTTGTTACTTGTCAAGTTGTGTAACGTATTTGCCCTGCTTTGGAATTTGGGACAGTCCATGGAAATTTGGATTTTAGTACAAATATACAAAAAGTACAGAGTAAACAGTACAAACTGCATGGATGGTGGCAAAAGCTAATCAGTTTTAGTTCCCTAAGGTTATTTGCTACACTGTTAACAACTTTTGTATATTGATAACTTTTTGTATATTGATATTAAAATCTCTGAAACTTTAAATGGACTGTTCCAGATTCAAAGCAGGGCAAATTCATTATAGAAACTTTGTAGGTTAAACAGGTTAAATGAAATGCTGATCTGCTGTATGTTAGAAATTAAATACTCAGCTCTGACAGTTGTGCCTCTCAAAACTTTCAATTGGAGAAATTGATGTGTAGTTGTATTGGGATAGCCCTAATGCAAGAAGTAGTTTTAAAAAATTTAAAGAGAGGTTGTTATATATACTTTTCTGTGCTATTGTTGAATGTCATTAGTTAAATGGTACAATTTTGGCTAAATGGTATTAAAATTTGTTCTCAAGTGAAAAAAAAATCAGGATTTCATGAAAATTTATTTTGAGGTAAAAGTCTTGGACTATGTAAAATATATATAGTAAGCCTTTACTTTGCTGAGGTACTGTACATATTTTTCTTGATGTAATTTGTTATATATATGTGTGTATTAAGTTAATAGCTAAGTTATGTTTAAATATTTCATGTTTTAAAGGATTTTATATAATTATTTTTTCATTGTTTTGTGAGCTTTAATAAATTTAAATTTAAGTCCACCTGATAACTTTGTGCTCAGAATGTAACTTTTGAGATTGCAGTGTGTCAGTTGTTCTTTGCTTTCCATGGTGGCCCTTTTAAAAAGAAATGTTAATTGTGCTAGTCTGATCAAAAACCTGAAAATAGAAATAAAAAAAGAAATCTTTAAAAACCCTTCTCAGAAATTACAATGCCTAAAGCTTACTAATTTGGCATGTGGTATTGCCTTGTGAACTTCTATAAAAGTTACATAAATAATGCTTATGTGGAAATAAAATAACAATATGAAAAACCTTCACATGGACAAGAAATAAAATTATTTAATTGAAACATTTATCATATTAGTATATAAAAGAATTTGACAATTCACCTTAATCTATATCAGCTCTTTAAGTTGAGTTTTTAGTGTTTTGTCAGTTATATAGAATAATATTATTATATACATTTGTATAGAATATTGACCCTCAAAATGACTGTCACTTTCAGCAAGGGAGGAAAATATTATAGATATTGGAAACTAACAATTTATATGTATTTATAGAGATGATAAAAGTCTAAAGATATAAAAATAAACATCTTTTAACGACTTTCGAACATAGATATTTTTTAAAATATTGCAAGTTGTGTTCAGGAAATTACTAAGAATAAGTTAAAATGGTCAAGATTTTGATAAACTAAAAATAATGTTAATGCTGCAAAGGAGATGGTATTATATGATGCTTTTTGTATGATGCCTACATGTATATGAAATGCTTTAAAAAAAAACATAACGTAACTTTTGAAACTCCTCAAATGAAAATTGAATGAGGAGATTATTTTGTATTAAATGCTTTCTATATCAGTGTTTTTTTCCCAATTTTCAAAACAACCTGTGGCTTTCTGAAGGGGAAAATATAGCACAATAAATAAGAATACGGGGAAACCTAAAATCAAATTCCAACAACTGAAAATGAAATTTACCCACACATTTTATGAAAAAAATTTAATTTCAAATTTTATTTAACATGCATGGTACATAGCAGAGGCTATCTATAGGGACAAATTGCTGTCTTCTAGCTGATTTAAGTCAGATGGTTCTGGTAAGGAATAGCACAAGGCATTTTTATGTAAAATATACCTATTTTGGACTAGGGCAATAGCCTTGATTCGGCTGTAAAATACAGTGAAAAAAGTCACTGTATATTAACTACATTTATATCATTGTGTTAAAGTTAAAATAACAAGGGCTACTTGATTGTGGATATCATAAAATTTGTTAAAACATAGATACATTATCTTTTCCAAACCAGGATGTTAAACTAGATACACATTTACATGTAGTAAACACTTTATCTATATGACTCTGTTGACAGTAATTGTTTTAAGCAGGGGTTTATAAGAGTCAGGCTAAAATAGATTAATTTATAGTCAGTCACATGTTGTATGATCATGAAACAGTGTGGAAATTATGTTTGGTAATACATATTACAATGCAACCTCTGTCCTTGGTAGATATGAGGTGTTTGGTTGCTGCTGAGGAACGTTAAAACTTAAATCTATTTTTGCTCAACAGAGATTGTACATTATAAAAAATAGATATAAATAAAGTATAAAGCAAAGTAGGAATTTTATAGACTAAAAATAGTAATTAAAAACGTAAGTAGCAATTATTTGTATATTATATCTTCTTACGTTAGTAATAGTGTTACTAAGATATATATGACAAAGAGGGAGGACCCTAGTTCATATTGTTCAATGAAATGTTAAGTTATAAATTTTTGAGGAAATTAATGGTTGGAGAAGGAAGTATTTTGAAAACAAAGGCTTAGCTGATATTTAACATGTTGATATAAATGATATAAACTATTGTTTTTGTTTTTTTTCACAGAAGGAAGACATAGGTGGGGCTGTAGCTGAAGAGTTGAAACAGGATTTGAATTCAATAAAAGACCAGTCTGTAGGTCTGAAAGAAAATATTGGAACTAGTCTAGAAAAAGACCAGGATGTAAGAGAGACTGAAAGTAGGAAAACAATTGATGGTTTCCCATGTGATATTATCTGTAATGGTGTAAAGGAAGGAGAAACTCTTGTGAATGGCACTATTGAGAAGACTGATGAAGGGAAATTTAATTCTGAAGTGGAAAATACAGATAATGGCATTGTGAATGATTCTAAGGAAGTTGAAATTTCAGAGGACAAAGTGCCAGAGACAAATGGGGAGGTGAAAACTGAAGAGAAAGTTGTTGCCATTAACTCACCCTCTGAAAAGGATGAAGTAAAAAGTTCAGTATTAGCAAATTCTATTAAAGAACCTGATAAAATTGAGAATAACACTGAAAGTGTTTTCTTGGAACAAAAGTCAGAAGAGCAAAGTGCTAACGAGGATTCTACAGTGAATAATGAAGAAGGTAAGGTAGATTCTAATCCTGTTGAACTCTCAAATTTAAGTAGTAACAATGAAATAAAGGAAGAGGTTAGTAATACATTGTCAGTGGATCTAGATACTCCAGAGAATGATATAAGTATTCCTGTAAGTGAAGTAAATTATAATAAAGATGAACATGATGATAAAAGTAAAATTGAAACTAATGTAAATAATGAAAATGCACCTGAAAGCACTGTAGATAATGTGGAAACAGCAAAAGACTCTCCTGACATTGAAGTGACACCAAATCTAGATATCACAGATGTTAAAGAAAAGCAACCAGAAGAACTTACTAAAATTACAGGTGAAGTAACAGAACATAGCAATAGCTCAGGTCCCCCATCTTTAGTAAAAGAAATAAACAGCGATGATAATTCTATGTTAAGTAATTCTGTTAGTGTTACAAGCGATAATGTTGGCGTTGAAGAGTCTATGGATGTTGATGATAAACAATTAAGTGAAAATAGTGAATCTGAACATACATCTGTCGCCGAAGAAAAAGAAATGAAACCAATGGAAGTAGAAAAAGTGAACTTAGAATTGGAGATTAAACCAGTTAAAAAGAACGTTGTGAATGAAGGAAGTGATAGTCTAAAAGAAAAAAATACAACAAGTCCAGAAAAAGTTTCTGTAACTAAAACTGATACAAATTCTATAATTCAGTCGACAACAATGTCAAAGGGTCAAAAACTTGATCAATTATTGTCGAAAATCACAACAAAAGCTGAAACAGACAGTCAAAAAACACCACCACCTCAAAAACATGCTAAAGCTAGAAAATCCTGTGTAAATTCCGCTAACAACGCTTTAAATAAACCCAGTATTCCTTCATCAATTACATCTCTCACTTTTAATGTCAAAGAACTAGAGAAGAAAGGTGTTCTAGATATGCCAAAACCCTCAAAGAGGAAAGCTTTTGAGCCTATCAAAATCCCAACTCCTGAAAAAGATAAAATCTCATCATCACCCCCCAAAAAGGGGTCCCCTGTTCGATCGCCATTAAAGTCCCCGATTAAATCTCCAAGTAAAACAGAAAATCCATTTTTTAAGAAACAAAAACTTATTCGAAGGAAAAAGAAAAAGGCATACAAATTGCCAGGTGAAAAAGTATGGAAACGCACTAAAAGTAAAAAGTCAGAAGAAAGACAACTCGCCAAAGACAGTGAAATTGAAATGCATAGTTCTGAGCAGAAAGTTACTCAAAGGGGTGCAAGCATGCCAGTGAGTTCAACTCCAAACAAAGTGCCGAATAAAACTAGTGATCATTCAGTAGAAAGTACAAAATCACCTCCTCAGAGGAATGCTCTAGACATGTTAACAATGAATTCTAGGAAGTCATTTAGTTCGGCCAGTTCAGGAGGCAGCATGAAAAAGGCGAGAAAAACTGTACGTCATGGTATAGATCCAGCCACACATAGAACACTGGATTCATTCTTGAAGTCCAAGGTTTGTACTTGTTACTTCAGCTTTTATTATATAAAGTCCTGTTTTAAAAATGTGTTAAGTAGTATTATCAGATTTAATATCTTCCTTGTTAATTTTACAGTTATAGGACATCATGTATACTCAGGTGTAAGATTGACACATATATGCTCAACTTTTAAATTTTTCAGTTTAGTCATGATAGTTTTATTATAGCTACACATCTGACCGGTCCATAGGCAACTCACATGAAGTTGACCTGTAGGGAGATCGTTAAAAAGTGCGGCAAACCAAATTTTGCATTTTCCTTGACCGGAGGTGAACACTCGGCTGCAAGGCATTTTCTGCAGTTACCAAAAAGGTGGAGGTATACTAATTAAATAATATAATTGCTTGTATTTTGCAGATTCAAGATGTGGCCGACAGGACTGTTGGTGCAGAAAGTAAGTTGTATATATTATGATAGTAAAAAAAGTTAAATCTGATACATAATACATATATAAAAATACCAATATATTATTGACCAGCTAATAGTAAGAAGAATGGTCTACTGGCCTGACTGGCTATGAACCGTTTGGTGAGCATGTTAATTGGATGGATATTAGAAAAATTATAAGCTAGAAAAGCAAGACATCTTAATTTTTTTTACGGACAAAGTACATCAGTATGAAGTGTTGAGACTTGTGTCCTTTCAATTAAACAATTAAAAATGCATGTAAAGGCAAGTTTATAAGTGTGACAATTGTAATTCACTTGCCATTTTCAATTTTGTCAAGTGTTGAAACACTTTAATTTTTAAAATGGAGAATAGTAAAGTACCTATCCTTATTTGTTCATTTTGTCTGACTGCTTTTAATAGCTCAATAGGGAGAGCATCACTCAGATTTTAATCTAGACGTCGCCTGGCTGGTTTGATCCGTGGGCAAGAAGAAATTTTTCTGACAATTTATCTCAGACTGGTCATTTGTCTGTCACCTCATGTTGGAGGAGTAGTCAGTCACTTGCAGAGGAATTGGTAATTACTGGTTAATTGCTCAGTTGAACCGACTGTGAAGATGTGTTCAAAAATGTCCTGAAATCTGCGTGAAATCAAGACAAGCAAACATGACGCTAGCTTGTGGTATGTATGGGGATATGATGCTAGTATATCTCTGTGTTATTTTGCAGGAACTTCAGATGGATCTAATGGCGAGCCCAGAAAGAGAAAAGCTGTTGGTAAGTATTTCAGAAAACATGGATAAAATACTCTAAAATTTGTCATTTATTACAATATTTACCAAAATTTGGAGAAAAAAATTCTTAAAAATTGTGGTTGATGCAATTTGAAAGGATTTCCATGTGTTTTGATAGGCTTAACCCACATGTCTGCAGTTTTGATATGCTTAACCCACATGTCTGCAGTTTTGATAGGCTTAACCCACATGTCTGCATAATTTCATATATATGGATTACATTTATGATGATAAGTAAATTCTGAGGAAATGGATAGTTAATCTACCCAAATCTTGTACTGACCAAACACATTTTAGTCTGGGATTGGTATGAAATTGATTCTTCTTTTAATCTAGAATTTAAGGGGTCATTAAGACCCTCTACATAATAATTTAGGGGTCATTTGAAATTATAATTGGCCACATGCGGCTTGCCAAACATTGAGAAATACAGCAAGTTAATGTGTAATCAAACATTTTTCTGGGTTCATGCTGTACTTGAAAATGGTTACTTTCACTTTGCATTCTAGGATGATTTTAGAAGGAAATGCCACCAAATTTTGGCAAAAAATGTTAATAAAAAGTTATTAAAATCTCTTATTTAAAGTGTAAAATAGATTGTTTATGCCAAATTATTTATGCCGATAATGTTCACACTCCACTGCTCTTCTTGAGTGAACTGACAATTTACTTACCTACATTGTATTAATTATACCCCCGCACAACAAAGTTGTAAGGGGGTATACTGGAATCAGCTTGTCCGTCCGTCCGGCCGTCCGTCGGTTTTTTCTTGTCCGCCCAATAACTTAAGATTCCTTTGACCCTTAGTCTTCATATTAGTTATATTAGGTTAGTCATGATTAGTAGATGACCCTATTGATTTTGAGGTCACTAGGTCTAAGGTCAAGGTCACAGGGGCCTTGACTTCAAAAAGCTTGTCCGCCCAATAACTTAAGATTCCTTTGACCTACAGTCTTCATATTTGGCATGGAGGTTAGTCATGATTAGTAGATTACCCCTAATGATTTTGAGGTCACCAGGTCAAAGGTCAAGGTCACAGGGGCCTTGACTTCAAAAAGCTTGTCCGCCAAATAACTTAAGATTCCTTTACTCCCACAGTCTTCATATTTGGCATGGAGGTCAGTCAGAATTAGTAAATTACTTCTTTTGATTTTGAGGTCGCCAGGTCAAAGGTTAAGGTCACAGGGGCTTTGACTTAAAAAAAAGCTTGTCTTCCCAATAACTGAAGATTCCTTTGACCCACAGTCTTCATATTTGGCACGGAGGTTAGTCATAATTAGTAGATGACCCCTATTGACTTTGAGGTCACCAGGTCAAAGGTCAAGGTCACAGGGGCCTTGACTTCAAAAAGCTTGTCCGCCCAATATCTTAAGATCCTTTGACCCACAGTCTTCATATTTGGAATGGAGGTTAGTCATAATTAGTAGATGACCCCTATTGATTTGAGGTCACCAGGTCAAAGGTCACAGGGACTTTGACTTCAAAAAGTTTCTCTGCCCAATAACTTTAGATTCCTTTGACCCACAGTCTTCATATTTGGCATGGATGTTGATCATGATTAGTAGAAGACCCCTTTTGATTTTGAGGTCACTGGATCAAAGGTCAAGGTCATAGGGACTTTGACTTCAAAAAGTTTGTCCACCCATTAACTTAAGATTCCTTTGACCCACAGTCTTCATATTTGGCATGGATGTTGAGCATGACTATAAGGTGACCCCTATTGATTTTGAGGTCACTGGGTCAAAGGTCAAGGTCACAGGGACCTTAACAAAAAAAGCTTTTCTTCTCAATTGCTAAAGAATGTCCTGTCCGCAATGTATTGATTTTGACATTTTCACATTTGAAGCATGTAGAATACATAACTTAGCAATGCACTGGCTTAGTAACCTCAGATTTGGCAGGGAGGTTGTCCTTGAGCTCTAAATGGCCACTGTTGATTCTGACAAAGTGGTATGCGGGGGTATTCACGCCATGATAGTGGCAGTTCTAGTTTTTATGGCTATCTGGGCATTTATTTTATAATACATGGTGGCTGTAAGAAAATTTTCTCCCACGGGTGACAGTTAATTTGTTTTTATAATAATTTCTTTTTCAGACCAAGTTAAATCAAAAACGAATACTGAAACTGATTATAGTCTGGCCAGTCCGGAAGAAAAAAAACGTAGAATGGAATTATCCCCAACTCAGCAGCATGTGATTGCATTGATGCCAACAGGTAGTCCACCACTGAGCATGCCCACGGCAGGACATCCCATAATTCCTGCATCAGGAACAGGAAGTCAGTTATTCCTGTCACCAGGTGCAACTAGTGGTTCACAGACAATAATACCAAATGGTACCCTATTTCAGATATTCAATAATCAAAGCATTGCCTCGTCACAAACTGCTCAATTTGTAGCTATTGCTCAATCACAAGGGGGACATCCAATGGTTACAGCTGCATCGCCTCCAAAATCCACAAATCTCCTTCAACCCAAAGGTGTACCCTTGCTATTTACACCTATGCCATATTCAACAGTTGTGGCAAATGGGACAGGTTGCCAGCCGGTATTTTCACATCCTGGTGTTTTTAATTCTGTGACATCTTCAGTGATGGGGAAACCAGTTCCAACTGGTTATCAATCAGCCGTCCAACAGCAGCATTCTGTACTTAAAAACACTCTTATCCAACCTAGAATGCAGTTACCAAATGGACAATATATAGATCTTAAACTGCCGAAAGATGTACCCAATGGAATGTACCCTGTTACTCCTCCGAGGACACCGGAAGAGCAAAGGTCAGAAACTGGGTCACAAGACACTGGTGAGGAAATGGAGGTAAGTGAAATTTGTTTTTTTTTTCCACTATATAACTGAATATAAATAATTTTTCCTTCCATTTCTTAGGGAATACTCCCAATTTTACTACTTCGGGAAAAATTAGTTTCCAACAAAGACAAATTGTTACTTTTGAGTACAGTGGAGCCTTGCTAATCCGAACCCTTCTAATCCGGAATCCTTTCTTATCCGAACGAAGTGTCCGGTCCCGATTTTATTCGTTCTATTTTCAATAGTAAAAAACCTTTCGGATCCGGAACCTGTCTACTCCGAATACCGGACGATTTTTTCAACTTTTGTTCTTATTTTACTCTAAAATTTACCTCTCGGATCCGAACAGATTTTGCCAAATGTCACACCTTAATTCAAAATAACAAATAATCGCACATCTTGCAGATGTAAACACACCAAACTGATAAGTGTTATTTCGCTTGATTAATGGGTGAAACGTATGATCTGCGAAGGTGTGAAAATTACACTTAGCTTGCCTTGATATCTTCTATAATTGCTTAATTGATTGTTTTTCGTCATCTTCTATAAATATTTTGATATAATGCAATAGAAATATCTTTTAATCCTTTGTATGGGATTCAATGATACGTGATTAAGTAATGAAAATTAATGGAAACTGTCAGTGAATTCGGATAGTCGCTGAATCGGATAAGAGTAAACAACAATTAACAAATGCTGGTAAGAATATCTAATCATGTCTCGGCCTCCTGTTTAACATCGTAGGTTAACTTAGCCTTGAGGACATAATATTTTTGCTTATTTATTTATTTTTATTTCTTTATTTTTGTATTGACATATATTAAAATGAACAATAAGAGACTGCAAAAATAAAATATCTAAATTGCTATTTCAGATGCATTCCCGTTTTCTTTCCTTAAACTATTTTGCAAAATAACATGAAAAAAAAAAACATGTAAAAAACCTTCTAATTCGGAAACCCTTCTAATCCGGAAACCTTTCTAATCCGAACTTTTCTTCTGGTCCGGACGAGTTCGGATTAGACAGGTTCCACTGTAATACATGTATATGTCATCTAATGCTTGGCTAATGTGGGGTTTTCCCCATCTAAATTGGGGTACAAATAAACATTTACAGTTACAGCTTCATGGTGCATTACCATTTACAATAGCAATCAACACTTTGATATGTTTACTGTTTCAAGTTTTAACTATAAAAGTATGTTTGTACCCCTGGTGCATTACCATTTACAATAGCGATCAACACTTTGATATGTTTACTGTTTCAAGTTTTAACTATAAAAGTATGTTTGTACCCCTGGTGCATTACCATTTACAATAGCAATCAACACTTTGATATGTTTACTGTTTCAAGTTTTAACTATAAAAGTATGTTTGTACCCCTGGTGCATTACCATTTACAATAGCAATCAACACTTTGATATGTTTACTGTTTCAAGTTTTAACTATAAAAGTATGTTTGTACCCCTGATTTAGATGGAAAAAAAACACATTTGCCAAAATCCAGAATATCACTATTATTTACATTGTTTGGGCAAAACAGAATTTGTGGCACTTGGAAATTTGTTCCTTTTTTATCCTAATAGAAAGCTGGGCTAAAACAACTGCAAAGTTATCTATTTTTTTGCTCAGTTGGAATGCCTTATTTATGTTGATAAATATAATTAAACTATTTTCTCATACAATATATTTGATGACTTTACGGGAAAAATTAGTTAAGTTACTTGTAACATACTGAAAGGTAACTGCATCATGAATATTGGGTTTCAAAGTATAATGGACATTCTCAACCAATTTTTCACATTTTTCTCAAAGGTTTTCATAATATCTTGTAAAATTGATTTTTAGCACTATAAATTTTTCCGCAGTATGATAGTGATTGCTGAATGCGAAAGTTTGGAAGTGATTTAATAACTTTTATATTGTGACACTATTTTCAAATATTGCAGTAAAACCTTATAGGGGTTAATCTTTTGTTATTTTTTTGTTTTTGACAATTTGTTTTGTTGCTGTTATTAGGCTGTACTTGGCTCTGTCACACCAGAGAAAGACGTTATTCCGCTGTGTACGTGTAAAATAAGTGGGGCCAGTTTTCAAAAGATGACCACTATAGTAACGTTCTGTCAAGCTCTAGACTCTGTAGACGGTAAGGTGCTTGGTTGTTGTAATAAAGTCACAAACCCGCAGTTGGTACGTCCTGCGGTGAAGATACCATTCCTCGCATTATGTGATAGTCACCGGAAGAGGTTGAGGGCACATCAGTGCTGTCCGGGTTGCGGCCACTTTTGTACTCAGGTTTGTCAGACTTTTCATAATAAGTTAAGATTAATTTTCACCAGGAAAATAATAATAAATTTGCTGATACAGAATCTCTTGGCTCATAACAATGGCATTAGATCCTGTTGATGATGTTGTTGATGTTCATTTTTGCTTATGTTTATAAGTAGATGGTTCCACTAAAATGCCTGAAATATTGTGCAGATAAACTGTTTCGGTTTCCCTCCAATAGTTAAAGGAAAAAAAAAAACAACAAAAAACTCCATATGACCTGTATAATGTCTTTATAGTACTTTAGTTGGTCACTTGCAGGAAAAATTTATTATTCCTGGTAAGTTATCCAGAAAAGTCAGTCTGGTGGACCTTCCGCCAAGATAAAACCAAAATGTGTTTAAAATGGCATTTAAATCAAACAGGCAAAGTATAAACTCTCCCTAAAAGAAAGATATAAGAGGTTACACAGTAATATGTATGTTAGTAATAGTGAATCCCTGTATATTGAAGCTGTTTTCTTTTTCTTGAATAACAGGGCAAGTTTTTACAATGTAAGAAGGAAGGGAGCAGTTTTGTACATAATTTCCATGAACAATGTCAGGTGACCAAGGATGGTAAGAATTACTGTCCTCACTGTGGGGAAACATCCAACCAGTATGAGGTATATCTTAGTATGCAGGAAAGCAAACAGTCAGTTGTCAAGGAAATGAAACCATCAAACAGAGCACAGTACGTGTTGTTTTATGTTTATTTATGTGTAATATTTGAGCCACGTCACGATAAAACCAACATAGTACATTTGCGACCAGCATGGATCCAGACCAGCCTGCACATCCGCGCAGTCTGATCAGGATCCATGCTGTTTGCTTACAAGCCCTATTACAAGTAGATAACTGATAGCGAACAGCATGGATCCTGATCAGACTGCATGGATGTGCAGGCTGGTCTGTATCCATGCTGGTCGCAAACGCGCTATGTTGGTTTTGTTGTGATGCGGCTCATTTTTGTTTGACTTGGAAGTTAAGAGGTAATGATGAAAAATTTGTTTGAAGGCTTACTATGCTAAATATCTGACAGGACTTGCCCAGTTTTTCATTCTGGACAAAACAGTTTATAATTCATAATTTGAAGATTAGTCAAAATCATCTTACATGTTTCAGCGCCATATGACCTATATTGTGTTGGTGCCCCGTTAAATCAAACAAACACAAAATCGACTTTGGAATTTTATTGTATTAGTTTAAGGGATTTCTATGTCCAAATTAAGCATTTCAGCAGTCATCAGTCAGTATAGAAGTAGTCAAGACTGAACTAAAATGCTGACGAACCTGGTAATAAACTGGTGACATGGTGTTGTTAATGTTTCTTTAGCTCAAAAAGCTATTTCTTAACAGTATAATCAACTGACAGTATAGTTGGGCCAAACTGCACTTGATTCTAGAAGAAATTGGTATAACTGTTGTATAAGAAGTCATTAGGATTATAGCTGAAACTGAAAGGTTGAAGAAATGTACATACATATGATTGATTTCAGAGTAAAGGCTCGTATAGGTGTGGTAGATCATAAAAGTACAAGTGGAGGGGAGGAACCAACAGAGGATCCAGTAGTCACACATACCCTAGAGAAAACAAAGAAAGTTATATCCACAGGTAATGTGTTAATTTATATTTTGCCAATGGTTAATACATACAGTTATTCATTAAGTTTGTTAGGTAGATTTATCTCTGAGATATGATCAATAAATGTGTTAAAATCAGCAAAAAACAACAACAAAAACCCCAAAACAACAAAAACAAAACATGAAAAACGAACAAGCATGCAGAACCTGTGGCATTAAAATTTCTTCTTTATTATTGTTTTTAAAATTTTTAATTTTCCCTATGAAATTATTGTTTAATGTTTACACTTTTGCTATAACATTATGTTAACTTATTCTGTAGCTGATGTTCCACTTGGACCTGATAGGTATTCCCTAGAAAGAGTGTTATCTAGTCTTGAACATGAAAGGTAAGAGTTACCTTAAATATTATCTTTCTTGGCATCACCAAGGTTTATTTTAAAAAAGAAACTCCTTTCATAATGGAAAATATTAATTGTTAAATGATATGATATTTTTAAATTGCTTTGAGAAGAGAAACTTTAGATTTATAAACAATTGACTTAAAGGAGTATGAATTAACCCATAGCCTCTCTATGGTGTCTGAATCTTCACATTCGAACAGGTCGGGCCAGCAGCATATCCATGGCATCTGATCATGGTCTGCACTGTTCACTAGTTAGTCAGCACATATTAAAATTTTTCCTTCAGATGAATAAGACCATTTGAGTCGGGTCACGACAAAACCAACATAATGGGTTTGCGACCAGCATGGCTCCAGACCAGCCTGCGCATGTGCGCACTCTGATCAGGATCTATGCTGTTCGCCATCAGTTTCGCTACTTGTTATAGGGTTTGTAAGTGAACAGCATGGATCCTGATCAGACTGCGCGGATGTGCAGGCTGGTCTGGATCCATGCTGGTCGCAAACGCATTACGTTGGTTTTGTCGTGACGCGGCTCATTTAAGGTGTTTAGTGTGGCCAGGGTTAATTACTTTTCTGACACTGCAGGCTGTCCAGCGTCCCTAAAATTCCTAAAAAATCCTAATTTTTTTCAGTTTGGCTAAAATTCCTAAAAAAATGAAAAATTCAAAGGGAATTCCTAAAAATGCCCTATTTTTTCACTTAAATTCCTATTTTTTTATCCTTTGTGATAAACATATCCAGAAACAACCATGTTTCAATCACAACCTAAATTCAAACGCAGTCAGTGGAGTTGATATCATGTCTGACTAAATTGCATAAGTCACATGTTGCATATACTTCAATTCCTGCAGAAATGCCATACTTGATGTCAGATGTTATCAGAAAAATAATAAGAAACTGTTTGTTTTAAATGGAACAATGAAAATTGTACCACTTTGACTATATCAAAATAGTCACTTGTTTAAAATTGTGATAAAAATTTTCCAAGGAAGTCATATTTTTATTGGCTACAGAGTTTTACCATTTACCTCAGTCTTAGGTGTATTTAAAGCAACTATTTACACAAATCACCACTAAATTTCACCAGACTTTATGCAGGGGTCCTTATTAATAACGTCTTAATTTGTAATCAAGTTATTTTCAAGTGATGACTGTAGAACAGATCTTATGTAAGTGATACCAGCTGGCAGATCTAGACAAGTTTCCATATTTGCTACCGTAATTATAAAATGGGTAAGGTAAACTGGCAGTAATGATTGAATGCTTTAACCATTTTGCTACCCAATTAGCATACTAAGAAGTGACACCTTCAGCTGCCATTTTTGTACACATTAACATGTATTGAACATATGTTATATACATGTAGTGTAAGTTTTTTTAAAATCTGGAAAAAAAACTGTTGAAAGTCATTGAAAAAACTGACACTGTTGTGAAATTTTCTACAATTTTTAGTAGCCTGATTTATCTTGAACAATGAAATTTTCTACAATTTTTTAGTAGCCTGATTTATCTTGAACAATGAAATTTTCTACAATTTTTAGTAGCCTGATTTATCTTGAACAAATTCTTCATAGGTGTATATCCTGCTGTTTGAATTTAAGTTTAAATATGCCTGGGAATGACTCTAGTGGGTCATATCATTTTTTTTTTTTTAAGAAAGATCAAGACTTGTTTTAAATGTACCAAATAAGAAATGCATTTATTGCTAAAATAAATTTAAAGCATAACTTCCTCTTCCATTTATTATGGGCTTATTATATCTTTACTTGATTAATTGTCAGATGTTATCAGAAAAATATAAGAAACTGTTAGTTTTAAATGGAACAATGAAAATTGTACCACTTTGACTATATCAAAATAGTCACCTGTTTAAAATTGTGATAAAAAGTTTCCAAGGAAGTTGCATTTTTATTGGCTAATCATAGCTTAACTAATTGAATATTGGTTGTTCCTGGATTCTTATAACTTTGAAAATGTTTTCATTCTAGTTATGTTTTAATGTAGTTTTTCAGCTCTTTTTAAAGGCAGTTAACCAGTGAATCAATTTATTCACTGGTGACTATGGAACACTGGTAACACCTTTGCTATAACCAAACTAGAGCATTATTTGTGAGTTACTTTTGTGTCAAATATGCAAAATTGAGCCCATATCATGGTCTTTTGAGGCCATAATTTAGTATAAAATTCCAAATTTGAGCCCTAAAATTTCTTTCATTTACCCTAAAATTCCTAAATTTTAGCCCTAAAATTTCTTAAAAATTGCCCTAAAATTTGCCCTAATTTTTTGTCAGAAGGTGCTGGACAGCCTGGACACTGTTGTTGTTGTTTACAAGTTATTTCTTGTAAGCTAATCATTTCTTGTAAGCTAATCAATCAAAATAAAGTTGATGATTCTACTTAGCCACTGGTGTCCGAGATTTTCCTCCACCAGTAATGTTGTAACCTTGCCATATGACCTGACCTACACAAATCTAATCAAAAAAGGAAAACGAGTACATGCAAATAATACAAGAAATAAACAAATTCATTATTGTGTTATGAACTCTCCCCGTTTGTATGTGCAGTATGAATCATTGTGAAAAATGAGACACTGGCAGCGACTCTGTCTTAAAACTTTCGACCTGCTGAATTTGTATAATGTATGTGCCCTGCTTTGAATTATGAACAGGCCATTTTAAGTTTAAGGGATTTTAATATCACATTACAAAAACTTGAGCTACCATCAATAAAGATTCTGGCTCTCTCTGGGTGGCAAAGGTTAATTACAGCAGGTTAAGGGTTAAGATATTGTTACAACCAGACCTGTCCCATGTTACAAGAAAGTACAATTTTTCAATTATCATGATAAAATATATGTTAGGAAAAGAATACAGTTGTAGAGTATTTGAAAATCATATGATATTTAGCTCGATACTTTGTCTTTGCTATAAATTGTGGACACAATTTTAAAAACAATTCTGGACCGATTTTTTTTTTGCAGGCCGAAGAAGTACCGGCATTTACCCAAATGTTTATATACACCGGCCTACGACAATGATTTGGAAAGGGTTGTTTATATGCTAGGTATTATTTGTTGTACAATAATTTCAAGATCAGATCAGTTGATAGATTTCATGTTACCAAGCTTATGCTCTGTTTTTAAAGAGTAGTACATCACTCCTATATGTGCTTTGATAACATTAAAATTGAACGGTAAGTTTAGTTGGTAAATTATATTTTTGACCAATTTCTTCCCAGATTTTGTTCTTTATAATAATTAAAAAGGTTGCTAAAAGAAAAGCAAATTGCTTTTAACAAAAAAAAAATCATTGCCATTCCTTTTGATGTAATGATAATTTAATCTCCTGTATGTAAATGTATTTTGATAAATTATTATCCAGAGATTTAGCAGAACTTGAGATAAGATTTACATGTATTTTTAAGTTAGTCTGCTCTATTATGGTCTTTACTGAAAGTACAAAATCTATAACATTAAGTTGAATTTATAATTTTGCTTGGACAGAAAGTAAATAACCTGAAAAATAAGACAGATTAATAGGTCTGCCATCTTTGAAAATTTGTGCTTTTGTTGCAATCTTTGGCAGATTCCAGAAATTCTTAACAGAATTCTGACTATAGTTATGAGAATGCTTTGTTGAGATTAAATGAGGTGCTTTTCTTTATTCCTGACCTTATTACTAAGATAATTCTTTGTTTTACAAAACAATATGATGTTTTTACAGAGGATGGCTTTGATCCAAATGAATTATTTGAAGATCTTGAGGGTCAGAGTGCTCTACATGCAGCCGCAGCAGTGGGCAGTCTTAGTATAGTGCATGTTCTTATACAGGTAAATATGTACCTTACTTGCTAATTGTATCATGTGAAAATTAGATAAAGTGTAAGAAATGAACATACAAAGTTTGTTCAGTGTTTTGTGTGAAGATTGCAGACTTAGAATCCAAGAGTGATAAGGTCCTCCATGGTCGAGTGGTAAAGATTGCAGACTTCAAACTGTTTGGCCCTCACCACTGTGAGTTCAAATCCTGCTAGGGTCTGTTGATCTTTTATGTGAGAAAGCTATTCTGCTAGCTTAGAGATGGTCAGTGGTTCTACTCGGGTACCTGCTCGAGCCTAAAATATTGCACTGAGGGGCTCCTGAGGTCTTCCTCCACTTATTCTTGTACCTGGTAGATATGTGGTATTTTTAACTTACCGATATTGCATAAAAGGAATTTAAAAAAAAAAAAACCCTGATAAGTTTGCCTTTCCTGCTCAAAGAAAAAGTAATTCATTTGGGAGGCTTAATATGCCTATAACATTATGTAATATTGATCACAATTAGGCTGGGGCATCACCTCATCACCAAGATAGGTCATTGAAGACACCACTAATGTTTGCAGCCGAGAACAACCATGCCGATGTAGTGCACTATCTCATCAAGGCAAATGCTATCATAGATGCTAAGGTAAGCAATGCTAAACAACCATATATATGATTTTATCATTTACCCTCATGCTAAATAACTTAAATGAACCTGTCCACATTTCAATCTGGACAGAACCATTAATTATTTTTAGGGGAATTTCAACATATTTAATGACTGACTATCTAACATTGCAAGACTATAATCAGATCTACCAGCTGATTATGTTCAGCAGTTGTGTGGCATTGGCATTATATCTGTTGCCACTACCAGGCAAAGGAAGATCCAAATCACACTCATGTCCATTTTTCTTGAGCCATATATAGCTAAATAATCTTAATCAGAATTAAAGCTCCAGATAGCGTGCGTATAAGCATACTTGACCCTTACACCACCCTGCTAATAATCTTAATTAGAATGTTCCTGCTGAGATTTGTTTGCTCTGGATGAGTAGGTAGAATGGTTGCCACCTGCTGGCTTAGAGCTCAGCACCTTAAGGCTTAGAGCAAAATGGCATGGTTTTGCCACCAGTACAGCCTTTACTGTTTTACAGACTGACACTGGCTAGCTTAATTCCTTCATTTTGATTTAAGTAGATTACCTCTTCTCTTGCTTTCTTGTAATTCTTTCGTGGAATCAATTTTTCAGGCTGACGATGGAATGACAGCACTACATTTTGCAGCGAAGGCGGGTCATGTGAATATAATTAATATGTTACTCAACACGGACCGCCTCAACATTGATACAACAGATGATGGTGGATGGACGCCTCTGATCTGGGCAGCAGAACATATGGAGGTTGAAGCTGTTAAACTCTTACTGAAGAGGAAGGCAGATCCTAACTTGAGAGATAGTGTAAGTTATGTTGTAATTATAGACGTTTCTTTCATAAAAATTATAATATTTGGTTTGTTATCTCAATTTATAACAGTAAATTGAATCCAGGAAATCTTAAGAGTCAATATTTGACAGGGAAGATGGCTTGAATTATATCTTGTTTCTGTGGCTGATGCCAATTTAAGTAGGATAGATAACTAAAAGAAATTTCTTAAATCCAAAATATTTTGTTATTGAATATATTATTTATATCTGAATTATATGGGCTTTATAAAAATGTGAATGATTAGCACCTGTTTGAAATTCAAAACCAAAAGTTTCAAAGTTTTATTCAAGATATATCCAAGAATGCATATTTTCTATGTAAAAACATGAGACAGAGAAGAAAATGTGATTCTCATTGACAGAGACCCTGATTCCATGTTCATGAAAATAAAAAAAATAAAAAAATGATCTTTAGATATTAAGGTAGGGGTCAGGTGGGGGGGGGGGGGGAACACACAGTATTTTATTTTAGGCAGAATAAAAAAAGTCTAGACGACTGTTAACAACAGTGATGAGTTGTATTTATAATTGTAGGAAGAGAACACAACGATGCATTGGGCAGCATTTTCTGGCAGTGTGACTATAGCGGAACTTCTACTATCAGCAGGCTGTGATCTGGATAGTTTAAACATGCATGGTGATAGACCACTGTAAGTAAACACATCACAAAGGTTCACTTGCATTGGTGCGAGATTTCAGGCATATGTCTGAAGCTCGGGTTTCCATCATATTTTACAATTAGATTATGTAGGAAAATGATTTTCAATTACAATTTTCAGGTTTTTCCAAATTTTCAACTTGCACCCATGTACTTGGTATTTTTAAGGTGCTCCTGGCCTTCAGCAATGGGAAAAGATTTCATAATTCATTTTATAGATGTATTTTAAAAAAAAAATTGTATTTTAATATTTCTTTTAATAGATTTTCTCGTGTTAAGTAATTACAAACTAGGCTTAATTTCAGCTCACTTTTTGAAGAAATAGATAAGCTATTGTTATAACCCACATGGTGGCAGTGTCACCCTTAACTTGTGGTCAAAATTTTAGAATTTAAGAAATGTCACTTTAACAACACTTGTACCTTGTTATGGATGATGGTGTCTGGAATCGAGGTTATTGTTATGTCTTGACTTATCTTACATATAATATTGAATATTTTCAGATTATAAATGATTGAGAAATATTTTGAATGTGTTTAAAAAAATGATAATGTCAAGAGTTATATAGAAGAATTGCTTTCTCAGTTTCTGTGTTAAGTTATGATTGTCACTTTTATTACAGGCATATAGCAGCAAGACAAGACCATTATGAATGTGTAGTGTAAGTATTAATTCTTTCCCTAATAGTTTCGTTAAGAGCTATTAAGGATTGTTCCCGTTCATTGAAATAGATTCATTGTTTTGGTTACCTATAATTGTCAAGCTCATGTTTAAGCTGTTACAAATACATTGCTTATAAAAATACCTTTGTAAATTACCAATGTTTGGCTAGTGCCTATAAAAGCCAGAATATGCCATGTTAGTGCAGTTTGACCAAACTATACTGGTCAGTGGTCACTTCTCAATTTTATTATCTGTTGATGAAATTCTTTAACCTTAACCATGTTATATAATTAATTGACCTGTCCATCTTTCAATCTGGACAAAAACAATTGATCAGTTTTGGGGAAAATTTTAAAGTATGTAATGAATAAATAGCAAACATTACAGACCATGATTACAGGGCTCGACATTAACGGTTGTCCGACTGCCCGGGACAACCAAAAGTTTGGTCAGGGCAAGTGAATTTCAAAAGAACTTGTCCGACAGGGCAAGTGAAAAAATTCCTATATTATGACCAATAATCCTTGCAAAATACAATTTCAATCTTAATTAGACTTAATTATAACGGATCACATTTGTGGAGACGATAAATAACGAACCTCACAGCAGGGGCAATTGTACATGTACACAGACTATTCGGTTGTCTGATGAATATGTCAAAACTTTATTAGCATTATTAATTATGTCAACACCTCTTCTTATTAAAGGTGTTCAAACCCTGTTGAAGTTCAAATCACAACATTGAACTTGTAGTTTAATTTAGCCGTCTAAACATTTGCTGATTTCTGGCTGTTTATTTTTTTGCCGTTAAAATCTAAAATTTATCGTATATCCTCAAAGAAAAAACGTTTCTCCTGTAGATAATTGTGAAAATAATAACAATTCATCTGCAAATGTGATACAGAGACATATCCACAAGGAAAAAAGATGTAAATTTAGAAACAAAATCTGTAAATGAAATTGTCACATATTTTCGCGACTTAAGATGTGGTAAACACAAAAAAAACCCACAAAGTTTCTGTCCACAACTTTATAAAAATTCTTTTATGAAGAAAATACTATATTTATTTGATTTTTATATATCAAATGCACAAAACTTGGATTTTTTGTCAGAATAACCATGTTTTTTTTTTACTGTTTTTTTCTTCAAAAATACATATAAATTACTGAAAACATTTTAAAATCTTATTTAGCCCCTTTTAACCTTCCTTCTATTTCCAACCAATTTTAGTGAAAATATGAGTATGATTTTGTCACAAAATGTCTTAATTTCTTAAATTAGCCTGTACGGCTTATATCGAAACCCGTGCATGATCAGAGAATAAATAAACCCCATTTTCAAAGATTGCAAACACTTTTTTCTCAAAACTTACTAATAAATGTAGGGTCGTTTTCAACACTTTACCGGTTTAGGTCAGGGCAAGCAAGCTTTGGGTCAGGGAAAGTACTTGCCCAAAAGGACAACCAAATAAAAACGTTAATGTCAAGGCCTTGATTAGACAATAAGAATGTGCCGACTGATATTTGTGTGCACTGGTTGCATGGGTAGCTTCAGTCGCCAGCAGCAGGTTTAGGGTTTATCTGTAAATAGTTTCTCAAAGCATGGAAATTCATATTAGGCAGATTCATCTTAGTTAAAGTGGTTAAGCTTATTGTTGTAGTTTTAAAACGTTTTGAACGTTTTTATTATTACAGATTATTCCTAGCTAGAGGCGCTGATGTGGAAGCTAAAAATAACAAAGGAGAAACTCCATTAGAGGTGATACATTATATAGTTTCTCTAGAGTTTTAATGTATGTTAAATATTACAGAATTTATCTCTGAAAAGTAGCTTTCAGTCAAAATTGAAGGTTTATTATGAATTCTTTTTAGTCTACTCCATTTGGTAGAAAGTAAAAAAAAAGAGAAAAAGCATATCTGTAAGCCTGTTAGTAGTTTCCCTATTAATATGGGAAAGTCTGTCATAAATATTTGTATTGTATGGGACAAGATAAGATAAATTTTAGAACTGCTGTGTATATCTATAAAAAACAAGTTTATTTTTGTGATATTTCAGTGTTGTATAGAGCAGACTACAGCCGTCTATCTGGCTCTGAAAGTAAACAAACAGCTGAAAAGTTTTGGTGCCAAACATATGGGGAAACCTGATAAATTGATTCATAGGTAAAATGCATGTGAAGTCATGAATGAATTATTGAAGGAAACAATATTTAACCCTCAAAACAGTAAATGTCTGATTTGGATTTGTCTATCTTTCATTCTGGTAAAATCATTTCATCATATTTAGGCAATATTTCAAAATATATACCGACTGAATTTGGAACAGTGAAGACCCTGATCAGACAGCACAAATTAATTGGAATTTTAAGAGTAATATCAGGTGATCTGTGATTATGGAAGCTGTCTGAATTACATTTCACTGCTAGTTATTTGATTTCCAAAACTGGCAATATCCATCAGTTACGTTGTGCTATATAATCTAAAAGAGGTTATCCTTGACTAGTAATGCTGGAAATTTACAACATAACCTGAATAATGTTGTTAATTTAAAAACTGGCCATTTTAAGATAAAAGTCGGTTTATTTTGTACATTTTATAAATCCAGGTAACTTTGGAAATGTTTTTATGTTCTTGACGCCTTCATCCACCTGAAATTGTGGCTTAAATAATTTGTTTGATTAATAAAATTAATGAATTACTTCCTATTTGGTCACAGTTTCAGGACATGTCAACCAAATTGTTAATCAATAAGAACAGGTTGATAAATAAAAGTAAAGTAGAAATATAAAGGATGTTAAATTGTGGTTTGATTCCTCATTAACAGTGTTCATGTCGGATTTTATAAAAATATGCATAAAAACAAGTTATAATTTTACAGAGACTTATCAAAGGGTCGTGAAAACATTCCAATACCCTGTGTGAATGGTGTGGACGATGAGGGCGAGCCGAAAGATTATCTCTACGTTGTTGACAATATAGAGACGACGTGCCTTAACATAAATCGTGTAATCGGCAGTCTGCAGACATGCCAGTGTAAGGATGATTGTTCATCTATATACTGCGCTTGTGGCAAGAATAGTGTACGATGTTGGTATGATAAGGTGAGTGATGACCATCTATCTAGTTATGTTTTCAGTATCAGTGCTGTCAATATAACATGCTTTTTCTGTTGTTTTTTTTGTCCCCATTTAGTAAAGATTTGCCCTTTTCTCTCCTGCTGTCCATCTGTGTGACTGTGGAATATCCTATGAACAATTTGATACACTTTTGATATCGGTATATTTTTGGTATATATGTTTTTGTAAACAGAATTCAGGCCTTTCTGAGTGTTATTTATCTACAAATAACTATAATGATATTTGATTCACATTTGTGTAATGAAGATGATGTCAAGCTGGCATAATACTTAGATGCCTAGTTTCTATAAAAGATAAGATATGAATGGGCAACTTGGGTTTTCTTCCTGAAGTTCAAGAGCAGAAATGTTGCCTTAAGAGTGCTGGTGTTACCTTACCGTGCCTCACTCTACCAACAAGAAGCCTTTCAAAAAATAATCTATAAATGGTCATTGTATTTGCTTACATGTAAATTATATACACCATGCATTTGTATGACGCTTTTTGTAATGGTAACATTTTACTTATATTTGCCTTTCCAGTAAAAAGGTTTAAGACTTATTTCTAAGAACTGTGCAGTTAAATATATTCTTGTAATGTCTTTATTTACAGTATAACAGACTTATACCGGAGTTCAACATGCTTGAACCACCATTGATATTTGAGTGCAATAGAGCGTGCGAGTGTTGGACCACATGTAACAATAGGGTTGTTCAAAATGGGGTCATGTAAGTTAATTTTATTACATTTAATTTGCCGTATAGAATTTGCTTCAGTCTTAATCTACTGAATTTGTGTAATGTATTTAGCCTGTTCTTAATGTGGAACAGTCTATTTGAATAATAAGGAATTTCAATATCCAAATACAAAAGTTTAGCTACCAACAGTATAGAGCCTGGTCAAAATTCACAGATGTGCAGGTTAGCTTAGTTCTAAACTGGTGCCCTTCAAGTTGCGGCAGTAATGACAGATTGGCTATATCATTAAAGTTACACGTTTAGCAGCTGTCAGTAAATGGTTTACAAAGTATTTCATTAATTGGTGGTCTAGTAGATATTCTATTAATTCTATTGTAATGTTAATTTTGAAAATATATTGTGCTCTACATTATCAATAGGTGAAATTTTCTTTAGATGAAGTTGAATTGCCTTGATTTAAAGACATTTCTGAAGCCGTATTAGATTACTGTTAGTGTTTTAAGGTAAATATACATTCACTTAGTGCAGTAATGGGTTAAGTCCTTCTAATTTTAATAGGAATTAACCAGTTATTGCACTAAGGTGATGATACATATTTTTTCAGTCATACAATAATTTGAAGCATTGTTGTCACATACAAAAAAAAACCCACTAAGTTTTTAGTGATCATGTTGAATTATTGTTGTTTTCAGGTCCCGTCTACAAGTGTTTAAGACTGTAGGGAGAGGATGGGGATGTAAGACACTGGTAGATATAGCCAGAGGAACATTTATATGCGAGTAAGTCTGTTAACATACATGTATATTCACTGGTCATTTCTTGTTGAAGTTAACTGTTCCTAACTTAATTTGTATATTAGAAAACTGTGCTAAATTTGTATGATAGACGTGACTTGCTTTAAGTTTGGAACTGTCCATTTAGATAGAAACTACAAAAATTAAGGAGTCAGCAGTATATATTCTGGTCGTAATGAAGAGATAATTGTTCCATACTTGTGGCAAAAAGTATGCTTTTATGGCCATTAGCTGTCTTAAGGGTAAACCTGTTTGGTAAAGTAAGTCTAAACTAGCTCTTCATTGTATATTATAAATATAGTGCCAACATTATGAAATAGTTTTCATTTATTATATATGAAGACAAGAAAACTTTAAAGATTGCTAGAGGTTTCAACATCAAAATGGTATGAGGAAATTAACAGTTTTCAATCTGATAAGAATGCACAGCTATGCATGGCTCATGCAAATTGTTCTATATTCTCCACTGCAATATTTACACCTATTTTCCCTTCCATTATACAATTTCTCCTTTTCATGGGTGTAAAGTGAAAAAATGCACACACACAAGAATCTACCTATTGTGACAGCCAAATATAGCTTCATACCCTTCAATTATTTTGATAGTGTATAGTGTTTTACATATATTTGTGTTTTATTGCCAGGTATATAGGAGAGCATATATCAGATTCCGAGGCAGATAGACGTGAAGATGATTCCTACTTGTTTGACCTGGATAATAAGGTTTGTGTAGATCCCCTTTACACTACAATAATACTCAGTAATTGGTTTAGATATATTTAAAGAGAAAAAAACTGGCTCTTAACCACTTGTTGAAATTTTACACAAGGACTCTAGAAAAGTTAGGTACATGTAAAGCAGAAAAGGCCTGGCCTGCATTTGTTGAGCCCTGGAAGTAAGCAAAAATATTCAAAGGGCAGATAACTCAAAAGTGTGATTGATGGTCCCTATTTTTCCCCACCTTAAATCATATTTTAGGGTTATGGCAAGTTCAAATAAATCCTGTCAGACAGTTTTTGTTTTGACTGTGGCTGTGAAAAACTAGCAAATATTCAACATGGCCCATTTGGCTTAATAGCCAGAGTTCAGATTTGTTATCCAAGAGTTTTGGTTTGATCCTTGGATGAGATGAAATTTCTTTGTGACAAAATTACTGATCTTTGACAGTAAGTTTTATGGTCATTTGAAGTGGAGGCATGGTCTTAAGGTTAACATGTCAGACTAGAAATTTTAGGGTTGTTGACTGCTTGGGTTTAAACTCTGTCAGGGGCAAGAAACTTTACATTCATGGCTTAGTACTGGTTGGCTGCAGGAACAGATTTGAGAGTGTTTCAATTAGCTTATAGCTTTCAACACAATCAAGCTAAAATAAATTTGTATAAACTAAACTAATGGTCATTTGGCACAACTATGTGAGTATTAGTCAGTTACATGCTTATGAATTAGTAATTACTGGTCAGTTATCCTTGGAAGCCAGTAAGATGGACCAATGGCTAAAATATGACCAAAACGGTGTTGAAATAGGCATAAATACAAAAAGAAACTAACCAATTTTAATACTCTGGTCTTTTTATACACTAGACATTTTTGAACTCTGTGTAATATATATACATATGTATTTCAGGATGGGGAAACATACTGTATAGATGCTAGGAGATTTGGTAATGTGGCTAGATTTATAAATCATCTATGTGAACCCAACTTGACCCCTGTTAAAGTGTTTGTGGACTCGCAGGATCTCCGTTTTCCAAGGATTTGTCTGTTTGCAAACAGGGATATAAAAGCACAGGAAGAACTAGGGTAAGTTCTGTAAAAAAAAAGCAGTTATAGACTTGTGGTAGTGGAATTTGAATTTATTGTATCAATCAGTTATTCAAGAAGGAATATGAAATTACAGTTAGTGGTACAAAACTGATGTCATTAAGTTGATACATTGTTTGTAAAAGAATATTTATTTTGTTATTTATAGATGTCAGCTTGGGTTATGGGTGGGGAAACATAGTAAGATTAAAATATTTTCCCCTGGTTATTATTGGTCATGGGCGAAGTGTTACAAATGATGTGCAGACTTGTCTACCAATATATACATGGCAAAGCTCTGTCTTCTATCTTATCACTTGTACAATCAGAGGCATTATACAAAAAGTAATATATTGAATTCACTTAAATTGTGGGCATACAATTTAATGATTGTGTCAAAAAGGACAAAAAGTAGGTTCTCAAATAAATAGGTTGTCAGTTTAATGCAAAAAAAAAAAAATGAAAATAATGTATTAAAAATAATGGTACAACAGACAAACTAAAATTTCATTGGATTTCATTTCATTAAGATATTCATGTTTTTTTTGATAAGTCAATCCACAAAAATCACGTAAATAAGTGCCTGAAAAATTATAAGATTTTGCAGTACATCATATGCATAACGCAGTATATCATACTATATTTCAGGTTTGACTATGGAGAGAAGTTTTGGATAATTAAATGGAAGCAATTTACATGTACATGTGGCTCACTTAAATGCCGCTATTCCAGTGACACTATACAGAAAACATTAGAGGAGTATAGGCAACGACATGAAATTGATGGCGAAGAAATGCAAGACTAAGTTTATAAATGTGTATGACACGTACTATGGCATTTTGTTTACCTTTATACCATGCTAAATTTATATAAAAGTCCAGTTGTGACGCTGACACAGTCCATTGGTATGTCTAGGGATTTTAGTTAAGAATAAACACACAAGAGAAACGAAAATGATGTAATAGTATAGAGTCTGGCCAGACTGCATGAATTTTTAGGGCTGGCCTGTAGATTTTAAGTCCCGCCTGTGGATTTTAAGTCCCGCCTGTGGATTCTAAGGCCAGCCTGTGGATTTTAAGGCCGGTCTGGTTCAATACTGGTGATATGGATGTGTCATTTACAACACTACCTACCATTAAACAGGTTAATGTAACTATAAGAAGCTGTTTCTTCATCCCTTTGATAAGTGTTCTCTTGTAAAACTTCTGAATTATTTTTTCTTTTTTTGCATCAGCAAAAAATGAAAATATAAATTTTTGTTATTATTTTGAAACGATAGATTGTGAACAATATTTTTAGTTCTTTTTACACATTAAAGTGTATAAAGCTATATAGCTTCTGTCTGTATTGACAAAAAAAATTGCTTGAATTTTGAAAAAGATGACCCCAGTTTGTAAATGTCCTTTAATGTCAAATGGTGCAGGCATGAAATCATTGCTAAATGGTTTAAACCCTACTTGAAAAAGCAGTGTAACAATTTGTTCTGGAATATTTTATAGTGTTTATATACAATATTAAGTTGTGTGCTCAATAACTGTAGACACTGTTTCCAGTATGGACTGTAAGATTATGGAAATAACAATATTTTAACATCAAGTTTATTAAAATATTCCTGTAGATATAGCTTTATAAGCGTCCTTGGCCGAGTGGTTAAGGTCGTTGACTTCAAACCACTTGCCCCTCACCGCTGTGGGTTCGAATCCCGACAGGGACTTTGGATTCTTTCATGTGAGGAAGCTATCCAGCTAGCTTACGGAATGTCGGTGTTTCTACTCACAGGCTGTCCAGCGTCCCTAAAATTCCTAAAAAATCCTAATTTTTTTCAGTTTGGCTAAAATTCCTAAAAAAATGAAAAATTCAAAGGGAATTCCTAAAAATGCCCTATTTTTTCACTTAAATTCCTATTTTTTTATCCTTTGTGATAAACATATCCAGAAACAACCATGTTTCAATCACAACCTAAATTCAAACGCAGTCAGTGGAGTTGATATCATGTCTGACTAAATTGCATAAGTCACATGTTGCATATACTTCAATTCCTGCAGAAATGCCATACTTGATGTCAGATGTTATCAGAAAAATAATAAGAAACTGTTTGTTTTAAATGGAACAATGAAAATTGTACCACTTTGACTATATCAAAATAGTCACTTGTTTAAAATTGTGATAAAATTTTTCCAAGGAAGTCATATTTTTATTGGCTACAGAGTTTTACCATTTACCTCAGTCTTAGGTGTATTTAAAGCAACTATTTACACAAATCACCACTAAATTTCACCAGACTTTATGCAGGGGTCCTTATTAATAACGTCTTAATTTGTAATCAAGTTATTTTCAAGTGATGACTGTAGAACAGATCTTATGTAAGTGATACCAGCTGGCAGATCTAGACAAGTTTCCATATTTGCTACCGTAATTATAAAATGGGTAAGGTAAACTGGCAGTAATGATTGAATGCTTTAACCATTTTGCTACCCAATTAGCATACTAAGAAGTGACACCTTCAGCTGCCATTTTTGTACACATTAACATGTATTGAACATATGTTATATACATGTAGTGTAAGTTTTTTTTAAAATCTGGAAAAAAAACTGTTGAAAATCATTGAAAAAACTGACACTGTTGTGAAATTTTCTACAATTTTTAGTAGCCTGATTTATCTTGAACAATGAAATTTTCTACAATTTTTTAGTAGCCTGATTTATCTTGAACAATGAAATTTTCTACAATTTTTAGTAGCCTGATTTATCTTGAACAAATTCTTCATAGGTGTATATCCTGCTGTTTGAATTTAAGTTTAAATATGCCTGGGAATGACTCTAGTGGGTCATATCATTTTTTTTTTTTTTAAGAAAGATCAAGACTTGTTTTAAATGTACCAAATAAGAAATGCATTTATTGCTAAAATAAATTTAAAGCATAACTTCCTCTTCCATTTATTATGGGCTTATTATATCTTTACTTGATTAATTGTCAGATGTTATCAGAAAAATATAAGAAACTGTTAGTTTTAAATGGAACAATGAAAATTGTACCACTTTGACTATATCAAAATAGTCACCTGTTTAAAATTGTGATAAAAAGTTTCCAAGGAAGTTGCATTTTTATTGGCTAATCATAGCTTAACTAATTGAATATTGGTTGTTCCTGGATTCTTATAACTTTGAAAATGTTTTCATTCTAGTTATGTTTTAATGTAGTTTTTCAGCTCTTTTTAAAGGCAGTTGACCAGTGAATCAATTTATTCACTGGTGACTATGGAACACTGGTAACACCTTTGCTATAACCAAACTAGAGCATTATTTGTGAGTTACTTTTGTGTCAAATATGCAAAATTGAGCCCATATCATGGTCTTTTGAGGCCATAATTTAGTATAAAATTCCAAATTTGAGCCCTAAAATTTCTTTCATTTACCCTAAAATTCCTAAATTTTAGCCCTAAAATTTCTTAAAAATTGCCCTAAAATTTGCCCTAATTTTTTGTCAGAAGGTGCTGGACAGCCTGTACTCAGGTGCCCGTTCGTGCCTGAAATAATTGCACAGAAGGGCACCTGAGGTCTTCCTCCACCAGTTTAGCTGGAACGTCGCGATATGACCTATACTGTGTCGATGTGAAGTAAAACCCAAAACAAATATAGCTTTATACACTTTAAAGATATCAATATTTAACATGTAGTAAGTTTACTGAAATCCTTTGACAGTGTTGTTAAATGGTTAGTGGTCCAAATATTTTTTGCTATAGAATTGTTGAGTATTTATGTTAAGAGTGAGATTTTAATTTTTCTGTAGGTTTCTTTAAGCAAGTTAATGTTTACAAAATAATGAAATTTAAAGTGGCACGCTTTCAGAGGAGAAATTAAAAAAAAAAAAAAAAAATAGAATGATTTATGGTTTTAGAATGTATTAATATTTGCATTCCAGATGAAATTTTGAATATATTATGGAAAAAACTGCAGAATTTTCTAATGTTATCATCAAAATTCTACCCTGCATTGGGAGAAAGAGAGATTTCTGGGTAAATTTACAAATTATAGGTAAATTAAAAGTGCTTAGGCTAGGTTAAGTAACTTTATTAAGACTTGACATCGTTTACATACAAGAAAAGATTTGTAAGTTTTTGTAAAAATCAGCACAAATTTGGCGGTGTGTCGCTTTAAGAAATTTAAAAGTTATATGTATGGAAAATCTAGTCCTGTTGTACTTGTAATTGATGTTATTGTGTACCACAGTTGTCTTGGTAGCAAATTATTCTATTAATAAATAGAATAAATCAAAGTAAACATGCAGTGATTAAATTGTAACTGTTTAACTTACCGGTTTGTTGAATTTGGAACCTTATTATTGTACATAATTGAACGTATTTCAGTGCACTTAAGCAGTCAGCTGTAATGGGCTGACATGTATAATTTTATATATGTTATATGATTGGCTCTGTGGTTTATTTAAAGATGAAAATAATAAGTCGTAGAGTAAATGCCCTATGATATCTATCAATCTTTGCTGTATTAAACCATCTTCCCTAGTAATTTGTAATGGACTAGTCCTGTTTTGAATTTAGAATGGTCCATTAGTAATATAAGGGATTCAAGGTCAAGATTGTAAATATTAAGAACTGATAATAAATAGTTCAGTAGAATGCAAACGACATGGTAAAGTACTTTTGAATGCTATCTTTTATGTAACGAAGATCAAGAAAACCTATTAAAGAAATTAAAGATTTGAATATTTATTAACGGTTTTTGAAATAGGCTCGAGTTTTTAAGCAGGGGTCGCAATATAAATACTTTTGAAGATTACGTAAAATTCAATATAAAAGGCGTGAAACATATAGTTGTAATCACCATTTTGTAAAATTAGCAATGTGAAAGATTTGTGTACATGTTTTATGAAATTTAAGTTTAAAGAAAATTGCTCTGTTGACTTTTAGGCTATAGGCAATGAAACAAAGTTGTTATTATCTGAATATGTAAATATTGTATTATTTTTCTCATTCAAAATGCAAGCACTAATACTATTAACTAGTATTTTATTATATCAGCACAGATTTTTATTTTAGATTAAAAAAAATAATTAAATAAAATGGATACTTTATAAGGCGAGATATGGTAATGCAGGGAAGGGATGTACATAAATATATTAAATTGGTAAAAATAGTTTTGACAGTTTGTATTTTCTACAACATTATAAATATTGAACACTTTTGGTAATCAATATTGTCTTTTGAATTGGTTATTGAATTTATTTTGTATAGGAAAAAAATAGCATATTAGTATTTGATATGGAACTTGTGTTTGAAACACAATTCAACATTTAATTAGATATAGGTTTTTTGGGGGGCTTAACATAGCCTTACATTTTTACATGCTGCCATTATTAAAAAAAAATATCACTGAATTAGATTTTACCTGCTTGATATGATATTTATTTCTGATAGATTTAGTTTAATATGTTGTTTTTTTTGTACATGAGCTTTTTAAATTTGCTTTTTAAAAGTAACTCTGTGTTCTTGTCATTGTTTTTTTCATATTTTATGTTGTTTTTGTATTTTGTACAACTAGTTTGTTTTCTCTTCTGAGACAAATTGTTTGTAATGCACTGTGTTGTAGTAATTAAATGACTGTTAGGTATAATGTATTGATGATTTTTTTTTGGTCAAGTTTTACAAGATCATGGTAGTAATTAATTGACTGATATAATTATGTACTGTAACAATGATTTTTGTCAAGTTTAACCATCTAATGGCATTCATGGAAAGTTTAGAACTTATTTGGCATTCACTTACACATTTGTTATGCCCAGTATAATTCATTTGATCACATTTTTACTAACTATATATTTCAGAAACATTTTTTTTTCAGTCTATGAAATCGGTTTTGATAGAAATAAATAGTAAATACATTAATACATGGAATTTTTTACGTCTACTAAAAACATGTAATTAGTAAACTCTTTAAAAATGTAAAACTTTATCATTTCACGGCATTTATTTTGTTCAAGAAAGACAGCTTTGAATAGTTTTGCTTGTTAAAGTTTTTGTTAACTTTTGTAAAACTGCAGTTAATTTTGCGTCATTTTTACAGTTCGTTGTTCCATGTCACAATTTGTATATTAATATATTACAATGGTTAAAAGGTTGAAAACTTAGAACAACACATTCATAATTAGTTTCAACTTGACCCGTAATATGCTAATTTTGTGTAATGTATTTGCCCTGCTTTGAATTGTGAATAGGTCACTTTAAGTTTAAGTGATTTTAATATCACAGAACTAAAACTTGAGCGACCAACAACATAGAGCCAGGTTAGACTGCAAGTATGTTCAGGCTGGTCTGACTCTCTCCTTGTGGCAATGGTTAATCACTTTCAGTCCCAGCGGGTTAAGGGTAAAAATATCTTTGTACGAAATATTAAACAAGTACTAAATCTTGTTTGAACTTTTCTACATTTAGATGTTAATAATTTATTTGGAAATTTCCAGGAAAAGCATGCTGTTTTGATAACTTTAAAGCATGATTGTCTACAATTTACTGAATAAAGTATATTCATAAAAAATAATGAACGTGGAAAAATGTAATTTGTTTGTGACCAAAACTAAAGAACATAAAATAGGTATCCCACCAATTGTATATGTAAGAAATAGTTTGAACAAATCATGTCAATGTTTTACTATAGGAAAGGAATTTGGCATTATTAATAATGTTTTGCTCAGAATTTTCCTTTAAAAAAGGGCATGCGTATATGTATATGTGGACAGTTTATACTGTATATAAAAATGAAAGAAAAAACGACATACTTTGTGTGTTAATACTGTGTAAAAAATGGATTAAATTTACTGTTCTGATATGAAATGACGGAAGGAAATAAAATAAAGTTGTAATTAGTTAATTGATTTCATTTGAATTATAAATATAGGTATTGCATTTTTACATATGATGATTTATTATTATCACACATGAATGCATGCTTGATTCAAGTGTCAAATGAATATAATATCTTTTTTATATGTTCATTTGTATATATTTTGGTTGTAAGGAATCCATACATATACAATTGATGTTTTATACAACAAAGGATTGTAGATCATTTTGTAATAAACCCATACCAGACTAAATTTCCAAAATGGATTTGTCCATCTTTTAATGTGGATGAAACCATTTACCATTTTTAGGGAAAATTACAAAGTATGTACTGACGGAATAGTGAACAGTGCTGGCCATGATCAGACAATAAAGATGTTCCAGCTGAACTTGGCTGATCCGGTCACAATTGTAGATGCAGTTGGTGCCAGAAGAGTCAAAGAGTTTAAAAAGTTCAGCTGATGGCTAAGAAAACATAATCCTTGTTGTATTATTTAGATAAACATAATGTTCATCCATCTTTGAAAGGAAGAAATTGTACAAAATTATTTTGTAAGAATTCATTGTTTAAGGATAACTGTGTATAAATTTGATCCCGTTTCCAGTTGGTAAGAATTGTTTAGTTTTTAATCAGTACAAACAGAACTA